CTTAAAAACATTTGTTTAAGAGTCAGAAATTTCTTATGGTGTGTGGTGAGCGTTTTACAACTCTGGTGTGTGAAACTATCGGAATAGATGACTTTCTGAAAGTATTTTGAACATTTTTTGCAACTATTTCTGTAACCTCTTTACTCCTAGGTTCATAGTTGTCGCCTCGGAGTCGCCCTATACGAAATCTTTCAAACTGATAACACAAACGAACATCCTGGTAAGTAGGTAACTGGAACTCAGAGAGATTGTACGGATATTTGCCAAACACAGTACATTTCTGTCCAAATTTAAATTTAGATACAGGCAATTTGAGTTCTGTGCTCTGTTGAGAGAATATAAGTGATAGCACTGGGCGAAATCGCCGACAAGAGTGAAGGAACTCGATGAAAAAATATTTGTGTGGAGACCTATCCGAACCTGTCCTTTGGCGCTCAGAGAGCAGGAGTGCAAGCCGAGTAGAAAAACTTTCGGCTGTCTGATGTCGAACTTTCTTTGATGGCGTGCATTTTTCACTGCACAGAGGCGGTGCGAATCTTGGCTGCAACAAGGTAGTGGTCCGAGTCGATGTTAGGACCTCAGAGCGCACGCTCGTCTAAAACACTGGAGACGTGTCTTCCGTCTCGATCTGGTTGGTGGTTTTTCGATCCCTGTAGAGCCAGGTAGCTTGATGAATGTTCTTATGCTAGAATCTAGTATTACAGATAACCATACTTCGGACCCCGGCGAAGTCGATCAGCCTCAACTCATTTGGGGATGTTTCCTCGGGGAAGCCGAATTTACCGACTGTTGTGCCAAAGATACCTTCCTTGCCCACCCTGGCGTTAAATTCACCAATCACGATTTTGACGTCATGCCGGGGCAGATCCTCTGAATCACAGTTCTTGCCGAAAAGAAATCATGTCACTCTTATTGGAAAGCCTTGCATATACTGAAATTAAACGCGGTGGCTAATGTTCGCGGTTGCATAGGTGTTATTTAGTGGAACATCTCACCAACGCTATACTGGGGCAGGCTACAATTGGTAGCAACTGAAAACTGTTCAAAGGCCTGTGAACCCAGCAAATATAAGGGACAAACTCATAGTAGGTAGAACGATATTACATTTAGGGAAGTCGGCGCTTGAAATGTCCTTTGTAGGAACATTCTTAAATTCTGAATAACTTCGACTGCATTCCTGTTGAACAGAAACATTAGGTAGCGAAGTTTACACCTGATGCTACATGCGGTCGGGACGAGGACGCTTGCGAAGTGAGCATCTCG